GCCTGGCCATTTTTTGGTTGCAGCCATCATTGTTGTTTGGCGGGCCCGGGCTGGGGATTCGAACTCGCCACCTTAGGTGTATGTGGCTCGAAAACTTTTGTTAATTTTAAAGTTAACCTTTTAATGACTTTATTGTCATTAAACTTTTTGTTGGAAAGCGATTGAATACAGATACTTGGTTGCAGCGTGGCGATACACAGTTTCAGTTGATACTCTAAATGGGTGTCAGTCATTTGTGACCTTAAGGGTGTCTTGATTAGGAAGATAGAGATTCCCAGCAAAAGTAGTTGGAAAGCAAGAAACCATTTTTCAAGCATGTTCCTACGGGTGTGGGTGTTCTGCATTTTGCTGTATTTCGATTGGATCTTTCCTAGAACCAAACAATGACTTTAAAATGTCATCTGCTGAGAGCCTGGCCAACTCCACCTGTAGTTCTTATCAACTGGGTGAAGCTGAAATACTAATTCTAGTGTAATATCCTGCTTCTCAAAATCAGTGAACCTTTCATTGTATTCGCCAAATTAAAAGTCAATAACTGCATATTCTTCAAATAATTCATATATATCATCCTCACCAGTGACCCTTGGCAACTCAGGAGAACGTTCTCACCCAAAATTTCATTTTGAAAAAGTGTTTTCAGGCTTGGCGCCTGTACCACAGTGGTTATAGCACTAGCCACATAAACCTAGGCTGGTGGGTTTGAACCCAGCCCGGGCCAGCTAAAACAACAATGACAACGGCTACAATAAATAGCCGGGTGTTGTGGCGGGCACCTGTAGTCCCAACTATTTGGGAGGCTGAGGCAAGAGAATCGCTTAAGCCAAAGAGTTTGAAGTTGCTGTGAGCTGTGATGCCATAGCACTCGACTGAGGACAACATAGTCAGACTCTGTCTCAAAAAAAAAAAAAAGTGTTTTCAGAAAAGATAGCTTTTTTTTTTTAATGTTTGGATTTGGGGGGAAGGGCCCATATCTTATGTAGATTTAGTCTTACCTTGCAAA